AAAAAAGCGATCTGGAGCAATCCGCCAATCTCCTTTTTTGTCAGGAGTCTTGTGCTCCTCGAGAGTTCGACAAATCCGAGTGGTTGCCAAGGATTCCCATGGCGAATGCCGCTGCCAAGTGAAGTCCGGCACACCCCTATGAATCGCTCACGGAGATGTTGGACAGCTGGGCGATGTGCAGCATGTCTGGATGATTGCAACCACGCGGAAGATCATAGCGGAACATGACATAATCCACCAAGTACAGCCAGCACAAAGCACGTAGATAGGTCCCCTGCAAATGTAGAGCTCTCTCCATTGACTGTTGCGCTCCTGCTTGCAATTCCACAAAAGAGGCAGCCCCTACAATCCCAGCTACTTCAGCGAGGGCGTGCTTGGTGTCACTGCTGCTGTTATGCCGCCCTGCAGTGAGGTTAAACTGGGTGGTGACATGGCACTGCTGTGAGTCCAGGAACCGTTTCCAGTCTCCAACCACATTCTCCATCTTGCCCACAAAGTCCACAGCAAGCAAGCATTTGTTGCCATAAGGCTTCACAAAGTATTCCGACTGAGGCCTGACGTGGCCATCATGCAGCACGCCATCCACGAAGAAGCGGTCCAAGAATTGCATGGCCCGCTCAACGCTTCCAGGCTTGCCTGTCAAAAAATTCAGAACGGGATTGGGCGGGAAGTTCTTTCGATGGTCTATGGCATCCTGATGGTAGTGCCTTGGCTGCACCAAAAAAACGAGAAAACGTTTGAATCGGACTTGTGGAGTCCAAGACTTAACAAGCTGGGCACTGTTGTGTGCATGCCAACGTTTGAAAAACAGTGAACACATCAACCTGCAAACAAGTCAATCTGCTGTTCTCGAAGTTGCTCTAGCTGGGCATATCCTGAGATGAAACGCGTGAGCGGATTGCGCACAAAGGTGAAGGTGGAGGGATGGGACACGTTCTGGCAGTCATATGGATGAAGGTCGCCGCGCCAGCCCCTTCGATTATGTCGCTTCACATTGCCACCCACCAATTGTTGGAGGTTTCGAATGGCTCCCCAGCCGACTGCTTTCCAAACATGCAGCAGAAAGAAGGTCTTCCCATGGCAAACCTCATCCTTCAGCCAGGCGCTAGCGAAGTCCGCAGTGAAAGAGCTAGGCTCATATGGCTTGATTTCCTTGCCGAGCTCAGCTTGCACATAGGGCCAAACTCTATGCCGGGCTTCAATCAAAGCAGGCAAGCATTGCTGAGTGGATGAAAGGCACTCCTCCTTCACTTTGAGCATCAGTGGGCCCAATGCCATGTTCTCCAAAGAATCGGCTTGAGTCATTTGAAGCCCTCTTGGCTCCATGTCCTCAGAGGTGCGAAGCCATGCTTAAAATTACAAGCACTCCCCGGGCAAGCCGGCGGCGGAAGTTTCCTATAAGAACAAATTGACCTATAGGAGTGTCCCGTTCTTTCCACCATGCGTGTCCCTCGTGTCCCTCATTCAGACGCACGCGCTCCGGACTTTTGACCAACACAGCGCCACCTGTGCAAGGTCTGTGCTCCCTGATGTACTAAAGTTGTACTACAAAGTCGCGTACTAAAGTTGTACTACAAAGTCGCGAGTTCTCAGCTTCCAGGTCCAGAGATTGCTCCGCGCACTAAAGTTGTACTACAAAGTCGCCAGTTCTCATCTTCCAGCTCCACAGATTGCTCCGCGTCCGACAGTTGCACTACAAAGTCGCCAGTTCTCAGCTTCCAGCTTGCCAGATACTCCGCGTACTAAACTTGTACTACAAAGTCGCCAGTTCTCATCTTCCAGCTCCCCAGATACTCCGCGTACTAGAGAGTTGTGCTACAAAGTCGCCAGTTCTCAGCTCCCAGAGGCTGTGCCTGCCACGAAATCTGCGCATGGAGGTTCACAAAGTGCTGCGCCTGCTGCGAAATCTGCGCATGGAGGTTCACAAAGTGCTGTGCCTGCCACGAAACCTGCGCCTCGAAGTTCACAAAGTGCTCTGCCTGCCACGAAATCCACATGGAGGTCCACAAAGTGCTGTGCCTGCCACAAAATCTTTCAAACTAGAGCTATCTGGATGATGACTGGTGTATGCTGAGTGGTGTCTGATGAGTGGTGTATGATGAGTGGTGCATGATGAGTGGTGTATGATGAGTGGTGTATGATGAGTGGTGTGGTGTATGATGAGCGGTGTCTGATGAGTGATGTACGATGAGCGGTGTATGATGAGTGGTGTATGATGAGTGGTGTATGATGAGTGGAGTATGACGAGTGGTGTCTGATGAGTGGTGTCTGATGAGTGGTGTATGATGAGTGGTGTATGACGAGTGATGTATGATAAGTGGTGTATGAACAGGTCTTGAATGTCCGTAACACGGAAGTTTCGTACACTAAACTTCCCTTGACCACCCCCCTATCTATCACCGAAAAAAACCCGAGCAATCTGCTCGGGGGAAAAAGGGGCCTAAGGGCCCAGGTCTAGGAAGAAGTTTCTCGTAGAAACAACAAACAGGCACCACAAAATCGTTTCACAGTGTTCACATTGAAGCGGCTTTGCGGGGCTGCTGTAGCATTGCCACATCGTCACGGCTTGTAGTCGCTACGACCGACAAGGTGGCAAACACAGCAATCGCAAATCTTGCAAGCATGACCACGCGCAAAAGCTTCAGAGCATGCCGAGCAAGGAGGACGGAGCAAGGGTGGATGCGAGCATTCAGTCTTGTTCCTACACGTGCCCAAGCATTGAGCCGACATTCATCAGTTCGCAGTCTGCCAAAAGGACTGCAGCAGGATATTCAGGTTGTTGTTGAGTAGCACAGTCGATATGTTGATAATATATATATATATGTGTGTGTGTGAAGTTCACGCTGTGAACTTGTTAAGTTTGCACTCTTTTCGCACCGTCGCTCTCACCCACTCAAGCACCGGGCGGGCGTTCGCCTTGAGAAAAGGCGCGGCCGCGACGCTTGGCTTTTGAGCATCTTCGACTTCGACGTGTTCACGGACTTCGTTTGCCATGCTACCTTTTTCGCATTGGTAGCGGTAGCGGAGACCCGCCGGGGGCTCCGAGTCCTTTGCGCTGAAGAGAACGAGGTCCTGCATAAGTACTTCGTCACCAACCCTTGGCCGAGCTCAACCTGCACGACTCCTTTGCCTTTGTGCCTCTCTTCTCCGGACAGCCTCACGACTACAAAGAGTACCCCAAACGCCTGATGCTTTACCACCACAAGATGAAAATCAGCTATCAAGCATCTGAAGCGGTGCTCAACATCCTCGGATGCTTCCAAAGAGTGGGCTGTCGGTTGTTCGAAGACTTCCCAATCGAAGAGGCCGAGAAAGAAGCTCGACAAGAACTTCGAGTACGATGACCGTGTACTCCTTCCCAACGACTTCGAGGAGCACTTCAACTTGTTGCAGAGGAAGCCTCAGCAAAGCCTTCCTTCGTCACGGACCATGACACCGCCTACCGTCGTTTGATGGCTCACAACGTGAACCTCCCAAGTCCAAGGATGGCATCTTCTCCGACGTGCTGCTTTGTCAAAGGAGCATGCAACGCCAAATGGTGACACTGAAGGCTCCTAATTGCGTTGGAAAAGACTCCAGTCATCGAGGCCCTCTACCTCCTATTTGGTCAAGACTACAAAGCTGGTCGTCGCAAGTTCAACCGCTGGAAGGGCCGCGGCTACGCTGCCTTCGAGGAAGGGCCGCGGCTACGCTGCCTTCGATGAAGAGGACGCCTACTGGTCCGAGCAGCCCCGGTCTGAAGAGGCCATACGATGAGGCCGATGAATGGTATGATGACCCTGCCAACGACGATGAGGCCTGCTGGTGATGGCACCGAGCTGCCTGAAGATCCTCAAGTGCGACCATGCCTATGCCACATATCTGGACGCCCGACAAAGGTTCCAACAGCTCAAGTTGTCCCGTGGCTACTTGCCCATAGTTGCCCTCACTGATGGACAGGCCAATGCTTCGGCAGCTTCTGGATCTTCGTCACCTTCCAAGGGCAATGGCAAGAACAAAGGAAAGGGCAAGAGCATAAGCAAAGGAAAAGGATCCCTGCGATGGCTTCACTGCACTAGCTCTTGTTTTGAGCACGTTCTTCCTGCTTGGACGCTGGAGCCACAGCGTTGTGCAGCCCGATCGCCCGATCGGAGTGGAAGCTGGAGTGCAGAAGGATGAAGCGATCGTCCCCGCTCGCCTTCGTGAGGAAGTGAGGAAGTTGAAAGACGAGGTTGCAAAGTGGAGCAACCGCGCAGAGGAGTCCCGCCGTGCTGCTGTCGAAGCCACGACAGCGATGAATCTGGCTTTTCAAAACCAGAGTGCTGCTGAGAGCCTTACACATGAGGCATCATGAGGCCACTGAGGTTCTGAAGACCGCCCTGCGACAGATGGACGAACATGGCAACGAATGCCCATTCTACAGAGGCACCGTGCTCAGCCGGCACGGTTCCAAATGGCACACTGACCCTGCCTGCTCTAGCCTGACTGGCCGAGATGAGCGATTGCAGAGAAGAGTGGATTGCTGCCGCCTGTGCAGCTTGCAGATCATTCCGTCTGATTTGGTGGACCGGCGAGGTTCATCATCTGTCCGGACCCAGGTCTTGAAGAACGATCTTGGGGTTGAGAACTTCCCCCCATGTGAAGTTCACGCTGTGAACTTGTTCAGCAGCTGTTTGCACTGTTTTCGCACCGTCGCTCTCACCCACTCAAGCACCGGGCAGGCGTTCGCCTTGAGAAAAGGCGCGGCCGCGACGCGTGGCTTTTGAGCATCTTCGACTTCGACGTGTTCACGGACTTCGTTTGCCGTGCTACCGTTTTCGCAATATATATGATATTATATGATAATATTAGTAAGTAACCGATGGGATCCGATAGGCGGTAACTCTTTCTGGTGCTATTTGGCATTTGGGGGTCTCTCCAGGTTTGTCCTCAATTTAGAGACCGCATGATCAACATGCATTTAACGAGTGATGCAAAAAAAACAAGCATCGTTGAATCGACTTTCTTTGATGAGCAGCCTGCTGCCAATAGTGTTCCCAATGAGCATCAAAAACGATATATAATAAGTTAGTTGTGTCTTAAAAACCACAAAATGGGTAATGATAAACTGAACGGCTGGATGACACTCCCCAAAAAACATGCAGTAGTAACAATCCTGGATTGCAATGAAATCCCAACAAAATCCAAATGAAAAAACAATAAAGCAACATGGATCCCATACGCGACTCCGAGTTTGCCTTCTGACCTCTTGCTGCAGCTCTGGCCTGACTGACGGCCATCGGTGGAGATATAGTTCAAGCATCAAACACCAGCTGTAAAAGCTGGACGGTCGGCGTACTGTCTCGCTTTCAACGACACAATCCAATCGATACCCACAGTGGATACCCCCTTTAGATGGTCATTGACCGTCATTGACCCAGGGGCACATGAACATATGATCAAGAACTCACAAGGAATTGTGCCGTGCAGGATGGTATTGACACCTTCTCTGATGTGAAACAACGGTGAACAAAAACAACAACATAAAGAGGGCACCTTTGACTCTTGCGCCGGCTCGGCTGCCGCCCACCAAGCAAACCTTGGACCCAAGACCCCGATACAGTTTCGAACACTGTTGTATCCCTTCACCATCCTGAACCTTTTGAACACAAAGAATTGCGTTCAGAACAGCCGCAGCTGGTCTTGACTTCTGCGCCCGGTGGTGACTCTGTTGAACACCACGCGAACACCTCGCGGCCGCAAACACCACGGCGCCCGCCTCGGATCACGGGAGCGCTCCCGGTCCATGGTCCGCTGGAGATATACGCCGTACAAGTACGTCCTTGTGGCACTAGCACATGCGGCAGGATCCATTTTTGGTTGATCGGTGTCCTACCCCGACGTGTCCTCAAACATCGAATGAAACAAGGACTACACTCTGACTCACTCGGAAGTGAACGACTTGGTCCCGAAGATGACTTTCCTCTAGAATCATCTAGAATGATAGAAACATGGGAGTCTTCCACTTCCATCTTACTGAGTCCCAGTGCACGCGTCCCACACGATCGACCTCTGCGGCACGTCGTTCCAAAAAGAAATCCCGAGGCTGAGGAACGCTGAGGACCTATTGAAAAATATTTCAGGAAATTACATTATCCCCTCGAAGAACTATATTAGGCATGGAATGTCTCGTAAATAGACGCTTCCCTTTGGTTTTATCTGAGATTAAGCCAGTCGCAACAATCCTTTACCATTGTCATGGAAGTGCCATAACCGCGCAAGACTCGAGCCGAGCACAGCATGCGAGCCATGTACATGCATGTAGTCATGGGAGAATAGCTTTCAATTCAGAATGATTCTGATTCTGAATGAACCATTTGTCCTTTGCATAATATTGTCCTGGGCCATCAGATTCCAAAGATCCCAATTAACAAGGCTGAGCAAACTACTTCATAGTACTTTGATTTGCGGATGCTTCCGCAGTTGCCAGATCCATAAACAAAAGCAGGCTGCTTGGGGGGCATAAAGAGTCCTTCCTTCAAAACAGTGGGCAATCAGGTTCCGCTCCCAAACATCGTTGCCAGGAAGCAAACAGAACAATTGCCGTAAACTCTTCTCGTCCTCCATATTATCCATTCCAGGTTCCATGGTGCCCATTTGCATCACAATACCGTACCCCCAAAAACCAAGTGAACTGTGCGAGTTTAAATGAGTTTAATATATACGCACCTATCACCGAGAGTCAAGCCAGTCTTTGGGGCGGAGCTTCTTCGCGCTGCCTTCCCATGAGTCGACACAGTTTTCGGAGCTTGTTCCACTCACCGGAGCCATCGGAAAATGACCGGGTGAACATGGTGAACACCGTTTCGGGCGACGGTCGGCCCGCGGCCTCGAAAGCCGTCATTCAAAATTTCGAGCCGACGTGCAGAAGTTGGAGCTTTGATGTGGATTTGTTCTTTTTTTTCTCCTCCTCCTCTTCACCACATCAAGCGCAGTAGAAATGGGGACTTCAATGGTTCCAGGCTATAAAACAGCAAGAAAACATGAGCCCAGCCCACACAAACCTCACTCAGGTACGAGAATCGGCTTCTACAATCTTCTACTGCTGTTTGAACGGCCAAGACCTTTTCGGCACTTACTGACCTTGAGCAGCATAGATTCCTCTCAGTTCAGGTTTCTCATACGTCCAATCCTGGCCGATCCAAGCCACTCAGCAAGATTGATTAAGGATAGAATATGATAGAATACTGTTACACCAGCCCTCACGACTTCCCAGTGCTTAATGATTTTTGCTTAAGAGGCCCACCGGGGTTGATCGCCGGGGTTGGTATGGTTAGTATGGTTCGCATCCTGAATCCGGAAACAGCAGATTTGAACCCGCCTTGCTGGACCCTAGCAGCAACGAGATAAAGAAAATATAAGAAACTGGTCCGATTTCCTCACTTTCTGCTAGGTCAATGCTAGATCTTCTGAGGACCCAGCTTTCAGCCTGTTATCCATCCGCGGTGCCAGGAATGGCGACACGCTGCAACATGTGGTATCTGACGAAGTGCCGTACATCCCTAAAACCCATAAGCTAGGAGGGTGGCCGGCATGGATAATCATTGAAGCACGCTAAACCCAAGCGCCCCGTTCATCAAGCACCACGGTCTGGAAGATATCGAATGCATCAAAAAAAGCGATCTGGAGCAATCCGCCAATCTCCTTTTTTGTCAGGAGTCTTGTGCTCCTCGAGAGTTCGACAAATCCGAGTGGTTGCCAAGGATTCCCATGGCGAATGCCGCTGCCAAGTGAAGTCCGGCACACCCCTATGAATCGCTCACGGAGATGTTGGACAGCTGGGCGATGTGCAGCATGTCTGGATGATTGCAACCACGCGGAAGATCATAGCGGAACATGACATAATCCACCAA